TCCGGCCGCATTTCGTGTCCCACGACAGGGAATGCTCTGAGTAGTACTGTCTCTCTCTCTCTCTCTCTCTCTGCCTATCTATTTATCTCTCTCCTTCAATCCACCCACACAGTTAGTATCTCTATCTTCTATCTCTTTCGAACAACTTGGTGCATGGCATGTTCGCGTGAATTACCCCGCAAAACATCGACGGATGCACGATCCTAGTTCCATTCTGAACATTCTGAAACTTTTATTCGTTGTATCATATCATTTCTATTTGATGCACGCTGATCGCACTTTGATTTTTGACATTCGATGGAAAACACGCTCGCTCGATCGATCACGTTTAATCTTTCCCCTAGTTATAACTTCATTATTATTATTATTATTATTATTATTATTATTATTATTATTATTATTATTATTATTATTATTATTATTATTATTATTATTATAAGAAAAAAAAGAAGTATTTTATTAAATACTATTAACTATTGCATTCATATATCTTATTATATTTATTTCATTTAACTGTTTATATCATTTGTAAACGATCGTTCCTTATCAATTTTAATCATTTTATATCTCTTATGTATATATATATATATTTTTTTTTTGTTTCTTTTTTGGATTAAGAAAAAAAGAAGGAAAAGAAAAAAAAAAAAAAGGAAATTCTTGGTCGATTAAAAAATCCACGTATCACAACACAATGGTCATGTTAATAAACCTCAATTGTAATAATATTTATACGATGAAATAATATATTCTCTTTGCGAAATAATATAATGACTCTTCGTCATTTAGTTCTCGCGATACTAAACTAGGTCAAACCGCGACTGCATCTTGGAAGAAGAAGGCAAGACGGTAAGTATTACGGTTACGCGCGTGATTCGACTTCGATGCGGTAGAAAAATATGTTCGGTCTGACGCCTCGGAATCAACTTGTTGGAGTACGCGTTCGAGTACGTTCTCGAATAGGTCGACCGTAAGCGAATGCGATATATATACAACGAGTTTCAAGGAGAACGAAATTCGATCGTACACCGTCCATATGTTGGATATATTTTAGGTCGACGAGAAAAATTAAATGAAATGTATCTAATCTCTTTTTTTTTCTCCTATCCTTTTTTTCATCTCTTTTTTCTTTTGTTCTTCTTCTTTCTTATTTTTTTATTTTTTTTTTTTTTTTTTTAACAATCCTTTCATTCCAAACTTGAAAGATACGATGAAACACCATTTAATACGTGACCATCGTGAAATAAAAAACAATTCGATTCCTATGAGATTTGTTATTGTTGTTGATAAATTTTCATTGATCATTTGGTTTATGATAAAGGTTTATACAGATCTAGAATACTTACTTGAGTATCGTTAATGTTGATTCACCGAGTCCACCAGTCGATTCAGTTTCGCAGATGTTAAGGTAAAGCTAGAACGATCTAGCTTGAGGCACATGGTTGGTTAGGAGATTGCCAACGTGGGATGCGAAATTGTATGTCAATGTCTATAGTGGGATATTAGGTTTCGTGATTGACGACGGATTATTCCGGAGTTGGAATTGCTTAGAGAATATCCACGTGATCATAGATTATCCCTCAAGATTGATTTACTCTTGTATCGGTACAACATCGATTTACGGTGAAACACACCCCCCCCCCACCTCCTCCACCACTACCACCGCCACCCTTTCCCTCCCTCGCCGCCCACTTCGCCGCTTTTGAAGAGCGAACAATTTTATCGAAACGAGATAGTTCGAGATCGTTTCATCGAACAAAATACAAAACACCGAAGGGTACATTGATTTGGATAACATTGAAATATTTTCCTTTTTATATATATATTAAAAAAAAAAAAAAAAAAAAAAAAAAAAAAACCCATTCTCAAATCGAACGTAAACGTATCAAAAAATAATCATTTCCTATTTTCGTTCGTGAAAATCAGTTCTCCATTTGACTATCATAAATCATTAGGATATTAATGTCTAAAAACACTTCGAAAGGTTTACCATCAATCCGCACAAGACGAAACTTTCAATCCCGATCTAAATCCAACTGTTTAGTTTATTAAGTCGAACGAATTCGTGAGAAAATTTGTTCGCTCTATTGAAACTTTTCTCTGGAATAAAGAATGACCGATAATAGCTCAATCTAATTAATTTCATTAATAATTATTTCTCGGTAAGATCTTATTAAATTTAGAGTATAAGATAAAATCGTTATGCATTCATTTGAGATAAATTATTTTATTTGGGTGGAAATAATTGATCGTAGAAAAAATAAATGTAAAAAGAAGAAATGAGAGAAAGAGAGAGAAAGAGAGAGAGAGAGAGAGAGAGAGAGAAAGAGAAAGAGATAGAGAGACAGACAACATCATATCTATTCAAACATCTGATTATCTTGCATAAGGCAGACTCCACGTTCATATCGAGTCAAGATGAATGCCGGCGTGACTCTCTCTCTCTCTTTCTCTCTCTCTCTGGGTCATTCGACTCCTCTAATTAACTGTGGAGAGAAGACTACTACCCTTTCGTCTCTCCTCAATCCTCTCTCTGTCTCTCTTTCTCAATTTCTCTCATTCGTGTCTCTGCCGCGGACGACTATTAGGACGAAGCCCCAGAGTCGTCCTAGAGATCGAGGAAAATTGGGATTAGACCGGTTACATTACGGAAATATATGACGTGTGTGGGTGCTAGACGAGGGTGTAGTACGTGCGTATATCCTGATTTAAATTGGGTCGTCGGCTCGGTCGAAGGCACCCACCAATTTGCCGAGTCCACAAACTACTCGTCCTCGCGTTTAGTTCGCCAGTTCGTAGTTTCGGCTTTCAGAGATATCCTAGAATTCTGCTTGCGTTTATATTAACGGGGAAGTAACATCGTTTCTACGGGATTTCACTGAGAGGAAATCATCAAGCCACGACTTTGTGCTCTCAAATCTACTATGTATATATATATATATATATATATATACATACGTATATATTATATATTATATAACGGTTCCTCATCAAAAGATATTTTGAGATATTTCAAAGATATGGAAATGATATATGGGAGAGTATTATCGATGAATTTTCTTGAACAACGTCAGTCTCTTTATCTCTCTCTCTCTCTCTCTCTCTCTCTCTCTCTCTCTATCTATCTATCTATCTATCTATCTATCTATATATCTCTCTTTCTCTTTATCTCCCTCACTCGATATATATCTACATACTCTTATCGAAGTGACTTTATCTAGTTTCTTGTTGTTTCAAAGAGTTTTTATAAAATCACTTTATCCATACCTACATTTTTTTTTATTCTCCCTCTCCCTTTTCCTCTCTTTCTCTCTCTGTCTCTCTCTTTCTCTCTGTCTTTTTCTCTTCCACATCGTTTTAATATAGAGGCGACGAAGCGTTTTTCTATGGGGGCGTCGACGTGTATTACATGAGAGAAAGAGAGAGAGAGAGAGAGAAAGGGAGAGAGAGAGAGAGAGAGAAAAAGAGAGAGAGAGAGAGAAAGATGCGAGCGAGCGTCCTCTTTTCATCCGCATAAAAACACGGTTCCAAGCGAAGAAGGCCGCAAAAGAAAGAGGCGGTTGACCGCTGCTAGGGGTCACTCGATGTTGAAAGGGAGCTAGCTGCACGTCATTTAGACAAGGAGAAAGAGAAAGAGAAAGATAAAGAAGAAGAGAAAAAGAGAGAGGGAGAGAGAGATAGAGAGATAGAAAGAGACGAAAGAGAAACGTAAAAACGAGGAAAACGTTTAATTGCTGTGTCTTCCTTTCGCTTACGAAGTAATCTACGAAGTTGGAAGAAATTTATGGGACTATATGCATGATGCTATGGTGACTTTTGAACATTCACCATCATCAGCGCACCCATCAACGATTCCCTCACTGGAAATAATGTTGTACGCTACGTACGACGGCCCCAGGACATTACGATTGTATTTTCAAGTTGTTACGAACTATGGTCAATGGTCAAAGAGAACGCGGACAACTCGAGTCTACCCATAATTAATCTGTTTTTCTCTCTCTCTCTCTCTCTCTCTCTCTCTACCGTTTCCCCTTTGGACACGTGGCAATTAAAAACCATCAAGCAAAATCGACAAATTAATGTGAACGACTTGAACGAGCTAAACTGAATTCTCAAGTTCTCTTTTCTCTCTCTTTCTCTTTCTCTCTCTCTCTCTCTCTCTCTCTCTCTCTCTCTCTTGAATTTTCTTAATTGCAAGAAGCGTGTCAATTGTAATTGAACGAGCGATGTTTAGAAAAAGATTAAATTCGATTAAACTATAGCAAGGGAGAAAGGGTGAGGGGTGAGAGGTGAGCGCGTGAACGTGCACGCGCAAGCGCATTGATTACGGTCGATCGTTTTTTTTCCATTATTTTTCGAAATGTTCATTGTTAATCGAGAGAGAATCGTCACCGGTGGTCATCCATAGCAATTTTTTCTCGTCTCGAGCATTTGATACACGTTACGATATGTTCGAATTCAATTCGATTTCGTATAGTCGCGTAATTTTAATCAAAATCTCGGCAGAGCGTTCGTTCAGTTGTATACTAGTTTCAGAATATTCCTATATATTACTACGCGGTCTTTCGAAAGACCAAGCCGGGCGCGATGCTAAAATCATACATACAATTCGTACGCGAATCTGCAAACGAGCAATTTACTTGCAAATGAGCGAAACATACACGGTGCCACGTTTACAGATTTTGCCCGTACCGCCCGTTGCCCG